ACGGATCTGATGTTATATGTTTTAAAATTCAAAATGGCAGATCCAATATGGCGGAAGAATTTTTTAAAAATTAATTTAATTTGCCTGAAACTCATTACTCGGGGGTTTTTGGGGTCGCTGATGTCGAATTCGTTGTCAGTTTTTCAAAATACAAAATGGCGGATCCAATATGGCGGACAATTTATTTAAAAATCAATTCAATTTGCCTGAAACTCATTACCCGGGGGTTTTTGGGGTCGCTGATTACAAATCCAATGTCAGTTTTTCAAAATCCAAAATGTCGGATCCAGTATGGCGGTCAACTTTTTTAAAAATCGATATCTTGTTATTTAACCCGGCGAGCGTAAAGTTCAAGTTTGTAACACCGAGCGTAAGGTAGGGTATTTTTTACCCTGCAATGATTTTCTATTTGCATTTAAAAAAAACCTTGAAATCATGGAGATTTTTTTATATAATTGTTTTTTGTTGCCTAGTGATTTAATTTATTAATGTTACGATAAATTTTGCATTTGTTTAAACAAATTATTATTAATTATTTATAGCGTTTTCAAATAAAACAAGAAATCGACAATTAACTTTTCTTAGTACTACATAGTATTAAATTAATAATCCAAATAAGAAATTTAGTTAAACTGCTTACAACTATTATATAAAATTGTTTAAACTGGGTTTAAACAATTTTAAACAAAGGGAAGTCAAGGAATTTAGGAAAAAGTCAGGGATTTTTACTAAAAGTACTGGAAAAAATTAAATTTTTAGAATTTATAGGAGAATTCAGAATTTTGGTGTCTTTTTTGCTTGCCTCATAAACTATGAAATTGACAAGAATTCTAATACAAATCCTTCAATATTTTCTATTTTTGACAATAATTTCTTTTTAAATAACTTTTAAATAACTTCACATAAATTCAATATTATGTTCAAAAATTTTTAAAAATTCTCGTCAAAATTTTTTGAAAAAATTTCAATTATCTTTATAAATAATAAAATTTTTCTCCAAAATTCAGATATTTTTAAAAAAATTTAATAAAATTCTTGGCAAAATTTCATTTATTTTTAAAAATTTTCCTCATTTCAATTATTTTTTATATCTATTATTTTAATAAAATTTTCCAAAACAATTCTATTATTTAAACAAAATTTTAATAAAAATTTAACAGGAATTCAATTACTTACCAGTTCCTTTTATAACTTTCTTCACATCAATTCAATTATTTAAAATTTTTAATCAAGTTTCTCGAAAGAATTCAAATATATAAAGAAAATTGAAAAAATATAGTCTGAGAAATTCAATTATTTCGAAAAATTTAAATAAAATTCTTTTAATAATTCTTTTATTTAAAAAAATGTTGACAAAATACTTTTTTAAGATTTAGTTAATTAAATTGCAATTTTAATAAATTTTTCCTATACAATTCAATTGTTTTCAATACATTTCTTCTTAAGAATTCAATTATTTTGACAAATAATACATTTTTTTATAGGTATTCAATTATTTAAAAGAATTTGAATAAAATTCTTCGCTAGAAATCAATTATTTTCTTTCTTAAGAATTCAATTATTTTTAAAAATTTTGATAAAATGCTTTATAAATTTGAAAAATTATAATAAAATCGTTCATAGAATACAATTATTTTCGTAAAATACAACAATTTTTCTAGAAATACAATTATTGTCAAAAATATTTGTAAAACTCTTCGAAACAATTCAATTATTTTCGTAAAAAATAAAAACTCTTCTAAGCAATTCAATTATTTAAGAAATTTTAACAAAATTCTTCCCAAGAATTCAATTTTTTTCAAAAATAAATAATTTCACATGAATTCAATTATTTAAAGAAAAAATTTTTTTTAATTCTTTGTCAGATTTCAATTATTTTAAATTTTTTATTGAAACTTTTAGATGGAATTTAATTATTTTTAAAAAGTTTTTAAAAATTCTGAAAAATTCAATTATTTAAAAAAATTTGAATAAAATTCTTCACAAGAAATTAAATATTTTCATAAATAATAATATTTTCCTCTGGAATTCAATTATTTTTACAAATAAAATTATTCACAGGAATTCAATTCTTTAAAAAAAATTTTTTAATAAAATTCGTAGCAAGAATTCAATTATTTTTATAAATAACAAAACTTATCGCAGAATTTCAATTATTTTTTATAAAATTTTAAATAAAATGATAGAAAATTGCATTTATTCTTACAATTTTTTTTAATTCGACGAAAAAATTCAATTATTATTAAAAATTTTCATAAAATTCATTATAAAAATTCAATTTTAAAAAACATGGAATTACTGAATAAATTATTTATTTTTGTATTTAAATAATTGTATTCTCGGAAAATTTTCTAATAAAAATTGATTAAAAAATGAATTTCACTTAAAATTTTAAATTATAATTGAATATTAAAAACATTATAGCGTGAATTTTTTTTAGAAATAATTGAATTTTGAAAAGGGTTGAAATTATAATCTTTGAAAATTTGAATTTTTAGTTGCAATATTGTTATGAAATAGAATAATGATTTTATTACTTTGTCATCTTAAATTTATTATAAAACATGAGGAAATCGATCACTCCGAGTCTTCGACTCGGAGTGATTGATTTCTTCATGTTTTATTATAATATTCTCATAAGTTTGAGAATTTTGAGTAAGTTTTCAGAATTTAAGACTCTTAATTCCTATATAGAAAAATAATAATGATTAAATATTTATTTAAAAATTTATTTTTTGATGGATCAAAAAATTATTTTTTTAAATTTGAGTAAAATTTTTGAATTATTGAATATTAAAAAGCAAAATATGGAAAATTCAAGGACAAAAGTTCAAAATCCAGGACATTTAAGGACATTTATGGACATTTTTTCAAATTCCAGGACATTTTCAGGAATTCCAGGACTTCAAGGACCAGTAGACACCCTGTTAAATAAACAATTGTTGTTATTTATTAACTTTTTACTCATTTTACCTAGAAAGGCGCAGTTTTTTTTCTAATTTTGAAATTTATGGAGCTACTTATCATAACCGATAATTATTAAATATCAAATCGATATTTTAACAATTGTTGAAACAAATAATTTTTCTTATTTATTAACTTGTTTCCTATTGTCGCTTAAAAGATGCAGTATTTTTCTAAACATAACGTTTTACTTATGTCAAACTTTTAGCAATTTTTAATAAGTGTCTCACAACTGGACACATTTTTTTTTGACAAAAGCGATGTGCTCGGAAAATGGATCCTAACTTTTTTTGAGTCCATCTGAGTATGTACTACACTTTCTTTGAATAAAAGTTGCGTATTTAAGTTACTTTTCGAATGGTATATTTTATTTACAATTTCGTTTACGCATTTACAATTTATGAGTCAAAAACAAAACCCGTCTCATACGTAGACACACTCCTCTACAAAAAACAATACTCTTGGTGTTTTATAGTCACCGCACATATATTGACAATAGTTATAAACAAACAATAACATGTGCAAAAAAATTTTTTTTATTCATTATTTATTACCGTATCCAGAGCAACTATTAAAAGTTACAGTTAAATGTAGCTTTACAAATTCGAATTATCGAGGAATGAATATTACACAGGGTAAATTTTACCCTACCTTACTACGCTCGCCGGGTTAAATGCTCTCTGATCTTTATTCGTAATTGTAACGAATTAATTCATTGAAATTATATTAATTCATTTGAAACAGTTAATTTTCCAACGCAGATTATAAAACTGATGATTATTGAAAATGAATTACATTTATAAATCTGGTACTATCTGCAATCTCCAGTGAAATTCAAAGACAAGATAAAAGGGAGTTTGAAGATGAAGGATATCGGCGCTGAGTAGAAAAGGGGTTTTCGGTTAATTGGCATCTGGGTGGGTGTAAAAGCCAAGTCAGAGTAGGCAGTGGGAAAACGAGATCTAGTCAAATTCGCTTAAAAGTTAGTAGACGCGCGACAGATGGGCGTGCGCGAGCAAAAGCCGCAGAGCTACTTTCCCATCTTGTGGTTTGAAAACTGCGTTATCAAGAGTGAGTTTCAACGCTCCGAGTAAGCCAGCCCATTCTCTTTTGCGTTCGCAAAAGGGCCCCGGGAGTCGAACGACAAGCAGGATGAACCCCGAAATGCTCTCGGCATCCCAAAACAATATAGGCGAGAGAGGGGGAAGGGTGGGTGTTCCAACTAACTTTCATGTGACCTCGACTAACTAGTCTGGCCGCGGGTAACAGTTAACTCTGTTAGAACCACTCGGATAGGGAACCAGTGCCAAAGCTTCGCTACTCGCGTTTTCCTAGTCCAACAATGAGGACCAAACTCCGAAAACAGAAAGTCCTTGCTTATTTAATGAGCCACTGCGTAAAGTACTTGGTTTATCAATTATTCCATTGTACGCGCGCAATCCTGTTTAATCCAAATTCAAATACGTGAGGAGTTCTGGCTACCATCTGCTAATGTATTCATCATTCGGATTGTCATGTACCAGAAACTTCTAATGTAAGCCTTATTAGATGCCTCGTCACTGACAAACATTATCATTAGTTTCGTATTATCCTTTGTAGTAATATTTCCCATCGTGTTCGAATTTGCTCCTATCATTATCTTCCTAATAGTCTAAGATCCGGTTATTAGAAATAATCATCTGTTATTTGACGATGTCAAACATTATATGTTAGATAATATTCTGACGAAGTGTTATTTACTTTTAAAATTTACTTGGCGCCTGACTGCCGCGTTGATGCTAGAATTTTGATTTGTGACGAATAAGGGAAAATGATTAATTGATCTTTGATTAATTTTTGATTTATCATTAAACAATCGTTATAAAATATACATTAATAAAAAGGGTTGCCTAGTTAAATCGCGCCTATCAACCGGAATGATAAAATTAACAAAATGAAAATAAATTCGGTATCATTTTTAAAAGTGCAATTAATCAAGTATTTATTCGCATGCTTGAGGAGAGAAAAAATATTCAATAATTAGTGTTAAAACATACCATTGGTGAGATGCAAACGACCGTGTTCATCAGGATAAACAGTTTCAGATCGATCGCTAGCTGTTGAACTACTGCTCAAAGCACTGCCATGACCTCGACGTGCTCTTCGGCTTATAGTGCCAGCACCCGCAGAACTCGTCTTTTTTGACGTTGCTGCATAAACAGTTTCACCTGTAATGTTGAAATTATAATTAAAATTTTAATACCTCTTTCACGCTCTTTATATTTCAACGCAAGCATATTTCACATCTGCTCTCGCTCCCAACAAAATCCCTAATTAAATCAACTTCAATTTTCCATCAAGAATTTGAAAATACAAAAAAATAAATAGTATACTTTAAATTCAACAAGTTGTTAAATTTTCTAAATTATCTATCATAAAGAAAGGTTAAAAATTTTAGTAGCTGAAGTAAAAAAAATTACCACTAAAAAGAAATTCTTTACAAACAAGTGGCTTTATTATTATTTTTTTTGCTCACATTTCTGCAATTCTTTTTCTTTCCACGGCTCTTCTATGCGCTAGTACATTTCAAAAAGGCGAACAAGCTAAGTAACCATGCGAGGTGAATATATGCCTTGAGGGCGACAAACTGACTTCGAGCTTAAAGCTTTTGTTTCAAAAGAGTTTTGACTTTATTTCTAGAATGTACATTTAAAAATGTAGAAAATTTTAAACCAACCATTACCACTCCGGGATCTGTCTGAGGAAATACTGCCATTATAATGATGACGTCGTGAATTTGTACTTTCCAAAGGGAATGGAGAAGCCTGACGATGATTTGGTGTTAATGTTGGAGGTGGAGTGGGAAATGGAGTTGTTAGATTATCCGTTGTCACTGCACCTTCAGTATCTGATCCCGTGCGATATGAACGTTCACCAGCACCTGAAACACAAAATTGAATTGTTCCATAATTTACAAATTCAATAATTTTCCATGGCAATTATTAAGATACATTGGAAGCAGTCAGGATTTTCAAAAAATGGATTATTTTCATTGCATTTTCTTAAATTATATGTTTTCAGATTTAACTTAAAAGTCTGTATACTGAAAGTTTGCTTCAATACATTTGATCACTGATGATGGGAACAGTGACCTTGGCTTACAGCATTTAGCAAATGACCCGTCAGGCAAAGATAGAGATCTGCATTGCACAGCTCGGATGATAAGGAAAACATCTAGAACACAACGTTGGAACAACACGTGCGTTCCTTCCACACTTAGTACGCTTCTCAATATTTGAAGTAGATACCATTTTCAATTCAGTAAAAAATATAACTCGTAAAAATAAAATGTCCACAAAACACACTATGTAGAACAGTGGATTTGTGAACAAATTGCAAAATCCAATCGGTACGTTTCAGGAAAAGTTGCTACAACATTATATTCCTCTTTTGAACTTGACTTCCAACAAAGGCACATTGTTGATTGGAATTTTATTAGCATTTTCAGTAACGAATTTTTCGTTACGACCAAAAACGAAAAGACTATAAAGGGGATAAATAAAATAATATCTATCTAATTTGCTTGTCGATGGAATTCATGTACTTGCGGAGGCATTTAGTAAGCACGCCCAGGGCTGTTTGTAAAACTTTCCTCATTAATTACCGACAAGATTCAATCCCTTGCCTTTCATGGTTATTCTTGTTTCATCCTTTTTCAGACACGATCCTGCAACCTTTGTTCGTCTGCGGATAAAAGAAATTTCATAGAAAATAAGAGACACACCTCCTCCTTTCTTTTACTTCGCTAAAAATTATTATGCTAGTTGCCAATACAACAAAGCAAGGCAATCGTAAATAACTGATGTAATTTTCGTTAAATAGGCAAAAAATTTTATTATATTCTTTCATCTTCATTTGGATTATAAAATCAAAAAAAAAATTTCGTTAAATAAAAAATTGATTTTTTTATTAGGAATTTTTTTTTATACTCCCAGTCTCGTATTTTTATGACTTCCTGTCACGTAATAAAGAATCGATTTCTCTTTTTAATCTGACAGAGACGGCATGAAAACTTTAATGCATTAAGCAAATGCGAATTCAAGCAAAACGACGTGGATCGAAATTCTTGAAACGTCGTGATATTGACTTCTTAAACGTAATGCGTCGTTTTATAAAGGTAATAAAATTTTAAGATAGTCCGAATATTTTGCGAAGCACTTTTCCTTGTACACTATTGGAAATGTATCGGGCGGATATTTTTTTCGGGAGGAAAAATCAATTAGAGACTTATTGCTCCCAATGTTGAAGCTAACCTTTTAACTCTCAGAGCGGGAAGGGAGTCTTGCATTGTAGACACAGGGACGATAAAAGCATAAAGTGAGTTTCCTACTTTTAGACATTCTACCTAGCATGAGTTTGTAACTGGAGTTTGCGAAATCTTTTGCAAGCAAGCTAAGAGCTTCGGTGTTTGTATTACAGAATCAACTGAAACTTGTGTCAGAGATAAATGAAAAAAAAGTAGTTGCTAAAATTGATGACCCCAAAAAAAGAAACAAAGATTCTTTATTGATAGTTAAACAGTTGATTTTTAATTTTATGTATACAGATTGCCCTACAATGGTGTTGATTGTATAATTAGCCTGCAGTTTACTTTTAGCATTTTATTTTTCACTCACAAATTTTAACAATTGACTTCTGACAAAATTTTAAAAATCCATCTACTGCATGACATCAGATTAGAGGCATTGCAAACTTTTCCAAATTGTAAATTCTTGTCACGGTTCCGCTAATTTCTGTCCTATATTTTTTCCACTGGAAAATGCAAAATACCCCATAGTCTCAATGCCAAAATAAAATATAAAGGAAGAGGTTTCACGAGCGGACTTTATACATCATTTAGTTCTCATGAGGGCTGATTGGAAATTTAGAAAAGATAATTTTTACGGCAGTCTTTTTATTTCTCAACTCTGGAGTCCTTTTTTTCAATAGTCGGTGCAGAGGATTCAAGTTTACACTTCCTATCTTTCTGTTTTATGTCTCTTTTAAGCATCCAACAGAAAATTTGCCATCATATTTTTGTCCCATCTTCCTTCATGGGGCGTTTCTATCACCTTTATATATCCTGGTGAAAACTCACGGTGGACTTCACTGATGCTTCTAAGATTATCAGGAAAGTTACTATTTCACGTTCGGAATAATACCCATGCAGAAATTGAGATTGGAATTTTATGGGGTCCTAGCCAGAATTCCCTATCTGTAGTGGGGAACTGATTAGAGAAAATCGTTAGAACCCAACTACTTTCATAACGGTCGGCAGATGGGGTACAGACTAGAATATCTAGTCGGGAACTAGTATTAAAACTAGCTGTGTGTTGATAGGGCCCCGACTAGAATTTTCTAGTTGACTTTTAAAAATTATTATTTTTCAACTTAACCTATTTATAATTGAATTCTTCATTCATATTAACATTATTAATGAATGTTGTACACGAAAAACCTGAAACTTGAGTTGAAAAATCTCGTGCCCATGGGGGATCGAACCTAGGACCTTGGGGACTCCAGTCGGATACACATACCTCCCGGCCGTGATAGCTTGGAAGCACCTCCGCTTAAATAACATCCCGTGCAGCAATTCACCATTTGCCCCTATCTCTAGTAGGGCTCTCGCTAGATTCTAACTAGAATCTCTAGTCTAGAAAAACTAGCCTGGTTCCAATCAAATTCTAGTTAAATAATTTTTACCAGCATTATTTTTTAAAAAATTTTGCATATTATTTAATTATTTCATTTTTTAACATATTTGATACCTAAATATTGTAATATTATCCGTAAAAATAATTATTTAAAAATATATGTAAGTGCAATTATACTTTAAAATGTTTTTGACAATTCATAAAAATATTTATTTATAGAAAGACAATTTATGTATATTACTTGTACACTAGTTTGTCGCTAGTTGGAAATCAATAAGGTCCTAGTGAGTTTTCTAGTCTGAATTATCTAATAATTTCAATTAATAATAATTCTTTATAATCTAATAATAATTTAAATTATAAAATTATTAAATTATTTAAATTATTAAAATAATAAATAATAATATCAATTAATAATAATTCTTTATAATACAAAATTAGTAATAATAATTCTTTAACTAGAATTTGATTGGAAACCGATTAGTTTTTGTAGACTAGAGATTCTAGTCAGAATCTAGCGAGGTTCTAGACAGATTTTTCTAGACTAGATATTCTAGGATGGTTCTAATCAGAATCCAACATTTGGTAGGGACAAGTAGGGAAATTTCTACATGGGTAAACCTTTGTCCAAACCGACGGCGGAAATATTAATTTAAAACCTAAAAATTTTTATATTTTGACAATTTCTAAAATCTGGAAAAAACCATGGCCAAAGGCAAAAATAGTTCAGGACCAAAGAATCTGATTGTAGTCTAAATATATACAAAGTTTCAGGTTTTAAACTATTTTTATCGTTGGTCATGACTTACTAAATTTTCGTCATGATCAAAAAATATAAATTTTCAGGGTTTTACATATTTTTTTCATTGACCATGGTTAGCCAGATTTTGACCATAGTTAAAATATATAAATTATCAGGTTCTTAAATGTTTTTGACGTTTACCATGGTTAGATAAATTACAACCATGTTTAAAATATCTTTAGGTATGAAGATTAGGATTAGGAAAATCATTTTAAAGATGGTTTCGTCAACAATTACAATTATGAAAATTAGGAAAATCATTTTAAAGATGGTTTTGTTGACAATTTTGATTATGAAGATTAGGATTATCAAATCCATTTTAAAGATGGTTTAGACAGAAATTACAATTATGAAGATTAGGATGAGGCTAACCATTTTAAAGATGGTTTTGTCAACAATTACAATTATGAAGTTTAGGATGAGGTTAACCAATTTAAAAATAGTTTTGTCAACAATTACAAATGAAGCTGAACCTGGCACCCATAGTCATCAGCACCCACTTATTTCTTGAAAATTTTATGTTGGCATTGAAACAAAAGAAGATCATAGCTGAATGAATAAATTCACTCCAACGGAATGTATTTTATTTCAAGGTTAAAAAAATGAAATAAAAACAAATGAATACAAATCAATAAAAATAAAATAATTTAATTCTTAAAAAATTTTAATTTTTTAACAGCGACAAATAATGAAAATAATATTGAATATAATGTACAAAATCGAGTCCACAGACTTACAAAAAAATTTTCTAAAAAAATCTTTTTTCAAACATCGATTTTTGAAGGGACACATTTTGTAGATTAGTACGAACCTAAAAAACCACATCACACTGCAAGACTATAACATTGGGTATTAAAAATAGTTTTATCAACAATTACAATTATGAAGATTAGGATTAGGAAAACCATTTTAAAGATGGTTTAGACAAAAATTACAATTATGAAGATTGGGATGAGGTTATCCATTTTAAAAATAGTTTTGTTAACAGTTACAATTATGAAGATTAGCATTAGGTAAACCATTTGAAGATGGATTCATCAACAATTATAATTATGAAAATAGGATTAGGAAAACCATTTGAAAGATGGTTTCGTCAACAATTACCGGTTGTAATTTAATTCAATTACGGTTGTAACATGTGCACAAGGGTGCAAAATCATAAACAAACAAACAATAGGCTTGGCCCCCAATATCACTCATAAAATTACTTGACTTTGGACATTTGATGGTTTTGACATTTCTAATTTTTGAAAAGCAGGATGAACATCCTTTTTCAGCAATCAACTAAAAACAACAAAAGATAGAGAAAGCTTTCTTAAAAATGATTTTTTCCCCAAGAAATCTATAAAAACAATTGATATATGTGATGGGTGGGCCTGACTTCCATTTTGACGATCAAAGAAAATCGGTATTGGCGAATAACCCATTCCAGAATCAGAATGACAT